TGTGTGATGCTGATCAAAGATCTTTAACAATCACTGATCAAACTCATTAAAAAGTTCGGCTGGTTCACAGTTTTATTGTTGCATCGTTATGGAGGCAGGAGAGAGGAGGAGGAGGAGGATGAAGAGGAGGACAGACACTCGCACAGAGGTGGTAAAGACTTGTAGGAAAAAAGTCATGAGACAGAAACCAGTTCCTCACATCTGAAGAACAGGAGGACCACCTCAGATATCAGTTCAGTCACATCAGATGTCTGAGGACTACAGTCGTAACTTTACAAGGCTTTGCTTTGTTCCGGAATCCAGAGAATCGTTCGTTTTAAAAGAAAAATGCTGAAAAGAAGAGCTGAAGATAAGAAACGTACCTGAAGAAGAGAAAACAGACATTTCTCTCCAGCTCCGGCTCCTACAGAAGACAAATCAGATAGTTCCTGAAGCCTCTGCAGAGTAAGAACGATGGCAGCTGCACTGAAACACCACGCTCGGACATTCATCTCGGTTAGCTCGCGAAGCTAACGCTGTTAGCACTTCTTCTTCTTTGATGTGCCGGCGCTTTGAACGCATGACCGCCCCCTGCGGAAGTGGAGGGAACAGCTGATTTTACAAAAAACTGGAAATGACCTACTTACAATGGGATTTGAATTTAAGCGAAGGAACTCAACTACATTAAATTGTACTTTTGCTCATAAAATCGGTTTTTGAAGAATACCTAACTTGTGTGTAGTACTTTTATTATTTTTTCATTCAACCTTTATTTATACAGGTAAATCCCATTGAGCCTCGAGGACTCATTTACAAGACAGACCTGATTTTAATAAAGAATGAAGACAACAATGGACAACAGCAACAACAATAAACAGTTATAAAAAGTCATACAATTTTTTTATTTTTTTTACAAATAGGAAGGCTAAAAAAAAGAAAAGTAACAAAAAACAGCTAGATTCTAAGGAGAATGTAGAAAACTAAAAACAGGAACATGTCTGCATTGGTCCCTGCCAGGAGTCCAACAGATTCTTAAAGCCACTTAGAGAGGTCAAGGTCGAGAGCTTCAAATGTTTTTGTAAGATAATCCAAGAAACAGGAGCAGAGTAGGAGAAGGCCCTTTTGCCTAGTTCCGTTCTCACTGAGGGAACACTGCAGGTAATAATGTCCTGAGAGCGCACGCTGTAGCTGCACTCACGCAGAGACATGTAGGAGGAGATGTATGAAGGCAACAGACCAAGAAGTGATTTAAAGATAAAAAATGTACCAGTGAGAGAGTCTGCGTGAAGTTAATGATGTCCAGTTAACCAGTGAATACAGTGTGCAGTGGTGGGTACGATAATCACAGCCAGTTATGAATCTTAGTGCACCATGATAGACAGCATCCAACATCTGCAGGGTTCTTGTAGGAGCGTTCATGTAAATAATGTCACCGTAATCAATGGAGGGAAGGAAAGTCACAGATACAAGGCGTTTTCTAGCATTCAGGGTTAGACAGGATCTGTTTCTGAAAAAGAAACCCAGTTTAACTTTCAGTTTCTTTACCAAGTTTTCCACATGAAGTTTAAAAGAGAGATGTGAGTCGACCAAGATACCCAAATATTTATAGGAATCAACAAACTCAATGGGGACACCATTTGAGGATAAAATCAGAGGAAGAACTGCTGGGACCAACTTCCTATTTGAAAAAAGCATCCCTTTGGTTTTGTCGGCATTTAGGACAAGTTTGAGGTGGAACAAATCAGTCTGGATGATGTTGAATGCAGATTTCAAAAGCTGGAAAGCCTTAGCAACAGTTTTAGCTCAACAATAAACAACTGTGTCGTCAGCATAGAAATGTATGGATGCATTAGGGATGTTTTTACCTACATTATGTATGTAGATTGTAAAGAGGGTGGGTCCTAAGACTGAGCCTTGTGGTACACCATTGTTGACTGTTAAATAACTGGAGGAAGTACCATTATGTTGAACACATTTCCTCCGGTCTGAAAGATAGTTAGAGAACCAACCAATGGTGTGTTCTGAGAAACCAATTTCTGAGAGTTTATGACACAAGATGTTATGATCCACAGAGTCAGAATCTTTAGACAGGTCTAAGAAAAGTGCAGCACAATAATCTTTAGCATCCAGTGCTTCAACAACATCATTAAGAACCTTCAGTGAAGCAGTGGTTGTGCTGTGTTGTTTCCTGAAACCAGATTGATGTGGAGGTAAGATGTTAAATGAGTCCAGGTAATTTTTGATTTGAGAGTTTATCAGTTTTTCTAGAATCTTGGCTAAGATGCAGAGTTTAGAGATTGGTCGATAGTTGTTCAGTGAGGTGGGGTCACCTCCCTTCAGCAAAGGAAGAACAAAGGCTGTTTTCCAAGTGTCTGGGATGGAGTTTTGTCTTATGGAGAGATTGAAGATGTGGGTCACAGGGACTGTGATGATATGAGCAGCCAGCCTTAAGAAATAAGGTGGAAGTTCATCTGGACCTGCAGATTTTTTAGGGTCAAGATCTTTTAACAGTTTATTGACCTCACTGACTGAGAATGGAGAAAAAGAGAAGGTGTGATTAACTGAGGATTGACTTGTAGGAGGGATTTGATTTGTAGAAGTTTGGTTATTAAGTGAAGTGGCTGATCTTCCATTAGTAACTGTGTCAAATAAAGAACCAGAAGCAACAAAATGTTTGTTGAAACAGTTCAGGATCTCGTGCTTATTTGACACAGGAACAGAGTTAACAAGAAGTTGTGATGGGAGGTCAGATGATTGGGGGGTGCCTGAGAGAGATTTGATGGTTTTCCAGAATCTGTCAGGGTCATTTAGATTTTTGGAGGTCTGAGATAAGAAATAGTTGCGTTTTGCTGCTTTAACAGCAGTTGTGCATTTATGTGTTTGTGTTTGGGAACATTATGGCTTTCTTGTTAAAAGACAAGTGAACAAATCCAAAGCTGTGTGTCGACGTTGTTTCATGGAGACTGGATCTGCAGCAGCAACACATCTGACTTGTTAACGCTCTTGAAACAACATCATCTGAACGTGAATGTAGCTCGGTGCAAAGACCGATAACAGCAGCATTTAAACAACCTTTATCAGGTAATTCAGGTCGGTCCAGAGCAATAACACAAGCTGTAGGAGTTTTTAAAGCTCTGGATCTACGTTTCTGTTGTTGATGCGCCGGCTTTAAAGTTATTGAGCCCTGCCTGCTACGACATCCCATCACGTCAACACTTCAGCCAAAAAGTTGTAGCAGCACTTTATGAAAAAGCTAAAACTGATCGTCAACAAGCCCTGGACCAGATTAAATCTCAGCCACATGATGATGAGTTTGGGTTTTCATGAGCTGTATGCCATAATCATCAGTATTAAAACAATTAAAGACCTGAAGTATTTCAGTTGGTGTGCAATGAATCTGAAATATATGAAAGTTTCATTTTTATCATTACATTATGGAAAATAATGACCTTTATCACAATATGCTAATTTTTTGAGAAGGACCTGTATATTTGTCCATTAAACCCAATGAATCTAATCAGCTACTTAGACTACAAGCATGTCTTAAAGACATAAAAACCTGGATGACCCTTAATTTTCTCCTGTTGAACACAGACAAGACTGAGGTTTTGATTTTTGGACCTGAGCACCTTAGGAATAATTTTTCAGTCTTTCTCCCTCCTTAGATGCATTAATCTGTCCTCCAGCTCTAATGTTATAAATCTTGGTGTTATTTTTGATCAGGACACGTCTTTTATCCCCCACATTAAAAACATTACTAGAACCACCTTCTTCCACCTGCGTAATATCACTAACATTAGAAACATCTGATCTAAAGATGATGCAGAAAAACTGGTCCATGCATTTGTCACGTCTAGACTGGACTATTGCAATGGTTTATTATCTGGATGTCCAAATACTTCTTTAAAACGTCTTCAGTTGATCCAAAATGCTGCTGCCAGAGTCTTAACTGGAGTTAGTGGGAGAGATCATATCTCCAGTTAAAGTTTCTCTCCACTGGCTCCCTGTCAAATCCAGAATATAATTTAAAATCTTACTTCTAACCTACAAAGCTCTCAACAACCTAGCTCCATCTTATATTACAGATCTTATTGTTCCATATTTTCCTAACAGAGCACTTCGTTCTCAGACTGCAGGTTTACTTGTGGTTCCTAGAATTTACAAAAACAGAATGGGAGGAAGATCCTTCAGTTATCAGGCTCCTCTCTTGTGGAACCAACTTCCAATCTCTGTCCGTGAGGCTGACACATTATCCAGTTTTAAAACTAGGCTTAAGACTTTCCTTTTTGATAAATCCTATAGTTAGGGTCGGCTTGGGTTTCCTGAGCTGTCCCTTAGTTATGCTGCTATAGGCTTAGACTGCTGGAGGACAAACTGACCACAATTTTCACTCTGCTACTGTTTTTACTTACTCTGCTCAACCTGTTTTGTATTTGTGATTATTTTTTCTATCCTTAACATGTGTTGTTTTTTTTTTGTCTTTCAGGTACACCTGGACCTACACCTGGACCTACCATTCTGTGTTCGTCTGTCTCTCCTTCCTGTTCCTCTCAACCAGCCGGTCAAAGCAGATGGCCGCTTGTCCTGAGCCTGGTTCTGCTGGAGGTTTCTTCCTGTTAAAAGGGAGTTTTTCCTTTCTACTGTTGCCACTGTGCTTGCTCAGGATGGGAGACTGTGACGAAGCCAAGATTCATCTTGTCTGCTGGATTCCTTCGATAGAGAACTTTACTAAATGGCTTTTATGTGAATGTTCCTGTAAAGTGCCCTGAGACAACTTTGTTGTGATTTAGCGCTATATAAATAAACTGAATTGAATTGAATTGACTTTTGTTGCTGCAGCTCAAACTCTGAGTGCCATGGTGTATGGTGTGTAACAAGTGTGGCGCTGCGGTCACGTAGAGCTGCTGAGGTGAGAAAACCTGACCTTTGAGCAGCAGACACACGATTAAAGATAACCACCTGATTTCCAGTAAACGTTGAAGCATCATGGTCGTTCATGCAGAACAGGAAGTGTTCACCTGGAGTTCAGAGTCCAGTCTGAGAGGACAGAGAAGAAGAACGAGGACTGAAAGCTGAATCAGGGTGAGCGTTAACTCAACGTTCTTCTTCGAGTGTCTCTTCTCTCTGTGAACTCACTTTGATTAATCGTCAGGAAAACGCTGCTGCTTTTTCACGACTCTTTATTTTCTGTTTATCTTTGTCTTCATGCCGGGTGTTCAGACGAGAACTGGGTTTTGAAAAACAAAACGTTTATTTTCAACGAGTCAGTTAAAAATCTGATTTTTTAGATGTCTGTTTTGTGTGTGTGCCCATGTTACATTTCACTGGTCCTACCGCAGGAATCAGGAATAATTGTCTCCATATGGAGCAACAGGTCAGCCATATTGGAAAGAAGGAAGGAGGGAAATCGAATTAAAGACAGAAACCTTTCAAAAAACATTAAGGACCTGTTGTTATATCAAAACTAAAAACTGATTCTAAAATTTCACAAGGAATAAAGTTTTTAACTTTAGATTTAGAGGATTAGTAGTTATTTGGTGGAACCACATTTTTATACATTTAGTGGTAAAACAGTAAACAAAAAGCTTGAAAAAAGGCCTCCCAGTTTATAATTCACAAGAAAAGTACTGAAACCAGTGACAAATATTTGGACCGACTGGAGTCTTGTAGAAAGTCTTAGGTGTGTGCTTTGTGTTTTATGTGGGTACTTTTATTTTTCTTGGTTTACTTAATCACTGAAATGCTTAGAAAAAGCATTGACCTGTCACGATTGTGTGCTATAAAAATAAGCATTAAATCAAGTGTTTATTTATATAACATGTTATACACGTTATGTAGTCGTCAGGTCTTAGCTTTATTTCTCATAGAGTTGGTAAAGAAGGCCTGTTTAACTGTGCTGGTCTGGATGTGACTCTAATTTAAAATGTATTTGTCACAAATCTGATGAAAATCCAAACCAACTTGTTGTAACATAAAGTTAAAAATATCAGAGCTACCTGTACTTCTACATGTCAAGCTTCACATTAGGCTGGTAGAAGTCTGCCTCTGCTTAATCTTTGGTAAATCATGACAGAGAGGGAGAGCAAACATGAGAGGCTGTTGGTCCGTCCACCTCACCTGTGCTAAAGACATACGGCTGCAGGACGGACAGAAGACAACAGCAAACGTTAGGTGAGATTTACTCACAACAATTGCCAAGAGGTCTCTTTCAAAACCCAGTAAGGCGAAAATTAAATTTAGAAATATGACTATTTTAAATCAAATAAACTAAAACTTTTTTTTTTACTTTGGCAACAGCAACAGATATTTAAATGTGTTAATTTGATAAACAGTGAGGGTGGCACAGTGACGCAGCCTGGGTTTTCTCCCAGTACTCCAGTTTCCTCCCACAGACCAAAAACATGCATGTTAGGCTCATTGGTGATGTCCCTAGGTGAGAGACAGTGAATGGTTGTTTGTCTCAGAGTCCATGCTCAATCATCCAGGTACCAAATACAACAATGCTCAGTCAGGTCATCTGGACAGTTTCTTTTTTGTCAAAAGACATTTCGTCCACTATCCAGAGGGCTTCATCAGTCTGAGGAGTCCCAAGTAAACTGTTTTCCCCTCTAAGCAGTACTGCACTGTACAGTACTGCACTGTACTGCACTGTACTGTACAGTACTGTACTGCTGTTCAGCCCTGTAATCTCATGATCTCATTTGGGTTTTTTTTTTTAATTACTGTGTTCATCCATTTTGCTTTTACTCCCTGACATTTAATGCAGGGTGATTTGATTTAGTATTTCATTGTTTCTCATTATGTTTCATGTTTTTATGCTTTTATTCATGTTGCTGTAATATCTTGTTATTAATATTTGATGCTGTGATCTTATTTGGTAAGCACTTTGATAACTCTTACTGTTTTAAATGTGCTGTATAAATAAATGTGACTTGACTTGGCTGTACAGTGCGGTAAAGCAGTACTGCTTTACCGCACTGTACAGTACTGCACTGTACAGTACTGTACTACTGTACTGTACTGTACTGTACTGTACAGTGCAGTACTGTACTGTACTGTACTGCTTAATGGGGAAACAGTTTACTTGGGACTCCTCAGACTGATGAAGCCCACTGGATAGAGGACGAAATGTCTTTTTACAAAAAAGAAACTGTCCAGATGACCTGACTGAGCACTGTTGGATTGTTTGTCTGGTTTGTCTCTTAGTAGGAATATTAGGAACATTGAATTTGTAGTGTTGTAGTTACATCACTGGCCTTTGGAGGGCAGTGTTTCATGAAAGGCCCTCTACACACACACAACACTGCTTCTAAGCCATTTGTGTGGATGTGGTGCACCAAGCTGAGCGACATGCAGAGCGCAGCTTTTTTCATTCAACCTTTATTTAGACAGGTTAATCCCAGCTTGCTGCTGCACACACCATCTTGAGCTCTGTGCTCAAGTTGGAATTAATTTATGCTCAGCAGAGAGAGAGCACCTTAGTGCATCCAATCAATGTCATACAGACACGTGCAGGATTTAGGCTGCAGCTGGAAAAACAAGAGACTTCTGAGATACATTTGTGGTCTCTCTGCCTCACCTTCCAACTTGGGTGCAGTTTGTACATGTGGACTCTTCTCTACTCTGTTCTGCATTCACTCCTCTTGTTATTTATAAATGACCCAACTGCATGTTTCAGTTGAACACAACCCTGTTGGGAGTCATGAGCTAACATCTAACATGTGTCTGCTCAACACCATTAAGTATTACAATCAATACAACTACACAGAGGTATTAAAAACAAACGTTTCATGCCTTTTTAAACTGACATCAAGCTGGTTTAAACTTCACCAACAGAGGGAAACATATCACCAGTAAAGAAGGGAACAGTTCATTCTCATGACAGTCATACTCCACCTAAGAACTCCCAACTGGCTCCTTATTTAATCCTGTAGATCATGTTGTTTGCTAACAAATCATCTCATGTGCTTCATGTAATTAAGCAATGAGAGTCAGGTCTCATCAGCAAAGACTGTAAAGACGTCTTTTTGTCTCCTGTTGCAAAGTGAAGAGGAGGATTAGGAAATAACCTCTGTCCGTCTGTCTGTCCATTCATCTATGAATGTTGTGAGATAACATAATATGAAAAATAAGTGAGGTACCAACTTCCATTTTGGTGTGAGGCTACATTTTGGTGTCTGAAAGATACCTTTTGAAAATTTAGTTGCCAGGCCAAAATCCAAGATGGCTGCCACCATAAATGTCCATCTGTGTTGTGAGCATAATAACTTGAAAATATAAGTGAGATACCGACTTCTATTTGGGTGTGTGGCTACATCTAGGCGTAAAAATGTTTCCTTTCGAAATTTGAGTTGCCATGTCAAAATCCAAGATGGCTGCCATCATAATAAGTCGTTTGAGATGTAAAACTTGAAAACTAAATTAACTTCCCAATTCCTAATGTTGGCGTGTAGCTGCATTTAGGCGTAAAAATGGTCCCTAAGAAAAATGGGGTTGCCACGTCAAACCCAGTCCAGAAAAACATTCATCTCAAAATCACAAACGTTCACTATTCAAATCCCGCAGGGACAATGGCACACCGCTCGTTCAGTAATTAATTCCTTTAAAATTTTAGGAGCTATTTTATCTTTTGTATATTTGAAATAATTATAATTTGTTTAATTCCTTTAGGATAACTTTTTTGTTATAATAAATTGTAAAAAAAAAAAATAGTTTGTTAGTAATTTAAGTAATTTTTTTTTGTGGCATTCGTTTCCTTGATTGCGAAGTATTGGTAAAGACTGGGGGAACCCATAAACAGGTGAGCAGGTGTAGGAGCAATGGGGTGGGCCTAGAGCAGAGAAGAAGGAGCAGGAAGCACAAATGTTGGATTTGTTGCTTGGTGAAAATGATTAAAACAACCATCAAAGGAAATAATCTTGGTTTAGACATTGGACTTGTTTTTTGGGTGTGGTGAAAAACAACGTGGTTGCAGTAGTGACCTTTGGATCGTTTGAGTTTGAAATCACCACTACAGACATCATCCTTTAGTTTGTGCTCAGTCTCTCAAAATTTCAGATTTTACTATTTCCAGATATTCCTTTTGATTTAGTTTCAGTGTTTATAATAGAAATAAAAGACGAAGAAATGTTTAAACATGTTCTATACTTTATTAAACACCTCCCAGCACCTGGGATCTGTGTGTCTATCAGAAGTATGAAATCTAAACAGGAAGAATGAGTGTGATGTTTTGCACACTGATAATCCATGTCCATCAGCCGAAATGCCTTCAAATGTTGAACTGTGTGAATGTGAACGGACTGAAACTTCCAGTCAGTCACTCAGTGAGTGTCAGTGAATAAAATGTGCTGGTCTGCAGCTCCACGCCTTCATCTAGTGGACTGGTAGTAGCAGTCCAGCAGCTGATGCAGCTTCACTCTGCTGTCTGACTGCATTCAGCTGAAGCTGAGCAGAAACAAAGAGTCAGTCAGAGGAGCAGATGATATTTTTACAGCGCAAATGACGGAAAAGATGATCAGAGTTGATGTGCTGATGAATGATTTGTGTTTCCTCTGCAGGTGAAGGTAGAAAGTGTGTGTGAGCTGATGTGGATTCAGCAGCATGGATCAGTGTGAGGACCGAGAGGAGGGAGTCCCTCCCTCTAAAACCACTCTGTGTGGGGAACATGAGAGCCAGAGCCAAGATCAGAGGTGACATCTCGAACTGTCCACGACTCTTCTCCACGTTAGACCTCAGTACTCACATACTGTCTTCATTCACAGGAAGAAACATGGACCAGAACCAGAACTGGAACCTGGATCTGAACTTGGACCTGGACCCAGCTGTGTGTCCTTTAAGAGCAACATGTCAAAGGATCTTCCTTTTGAATTCAAACAAAGTGTTTCATCCAACAAACAGTACGTTTTTCTCAGTGTTCAGTTGAGGCTGGATGATGTTAAAGATAACTGTTGATTTTTATTTCATTATGCTGAGAAACTATTGTGGAATAGGGAGAATCATTTTGAAAGGATGTTGACTGTGTGGTGAACAGAGCAGCGATGACAGAATCCAGCAGGGAAACAGAACTGTCAGATTGACAGTTCAGAATCAGAATCAGTTTATTTTTGCCATGTCAATGAACGAGGTTCACAAACTAGGAATTTGCTTTGACATAAAGGTGCGAATAGTAATAAAGTGAAATAAAGTAAAAATGAAAACATAACATAAACATGTGTACACCCATACAATAGAAAACAATAAAAAAGCTTAGAGAACAGTACAGATGGAGTATTCAATTATAATACAGATGTAATGTGACCAAAGCAGAAATTATGAGGTAGCATTATGAGTGTTCAGGAGTCCAACAGCAGAGGGGAAGAAACTGTTCTTATGGCGGGAGGTTCTGGTCCGAATGGACCGAAGCCTCCTGCCTGAGGGGAGTGGTTCAAACAGACCATGTGCAGGGTGAGCAGGGTCAGCTGTGATCCGACCTGCTCGCCTCACAGTCCTGGAGACGTACAGGTCGTGGAGGGATGGAAGGCTGCAGCCGATCACCTTCTCAGCTGAGCGCACAACGCGCTGCAGTCTGAGTCTGTCCCTGGCAGTGGCCCCGGCGTACCACACCGTGATGGAGGAGCTGAGGATGGACTCGATGATGGCCGTGTAGAACTGCACCATCAGCTTGGCCGGCAGCTTGGCCTTCTTCAGCTGTCACAGGAAGTACAGTCTCTGCTGGGCCTTCTTGATGAGGGAGCTTATGGTCGGCTCCCACTTGAGGTCCTGGGTGATGGTGGTGCAGAGGAACCGATAAGAGTTCGCAGTGGTGATGGGGGTATCATTACAGGTGAGGGGGGGCAGAGGGGCTGTGGCTTTCCTGAAATCCACAATCATCTCCACTGTCTTCCGGGCATTGAGTTCCAGGTTGTTGCTGCTGCACCAGGTCACCAGCCGGTCCACCTCCCTCCTGTATGCAGACTCATCACCGTCTGAGATGAGCCCGATGAGGGTGGTGTCATCTGCAAACTTAATAAGTTTCACAGAGTCATGGCTGGAGGTGCAGCAGTTGGTATACAGGGAAAAGAGCAGGGGGGAAAGCACACAGCCCTGTGGAGATCCTGTGCTTATAGTCCGAGTGTCCGAGACAGCTCTCCCCAGCCGCACGCAATGACTGTCTGTCAGGAAGTCTGTGATCCACCTGCAGGTGGAGTCAGGTACATGGAGCAGGGGGAGCTTGTCTTGGAGCAGAGCAGAGAGGAAGGTGTTAAATGCGGAGCTGAAGTCTACAAACAGGATCCTGGCGTAGGTTTCTGGGGAGTCCAGGTGCTGCAGGATGAAGTGAAGAGCCAGGTTTATTGCGTCATCTACAGACCTGTTGGCCCTGTAGGCAAACTGCAGGGGGTCCAGGAGGGGGTTGGTGATGGTCTTGAGGTGAGATGAAACCAAGCGTTCAAAGGTTTTCATGACTACAGACATGAGAGCTACAGGTCTGTAGTCATTTAGTCCTGTGACACGTGGCTTCTTGGGGACAGGGACGATGATGGAGGACTTGAAACAGGCTGGGACGTGGCATGACTCCAGAGAAGAGTTGAAGATCCCTGTGAAGACCGAAGCCAACTCTCCAGCACAATGTCTCAGCGTGGAGGGTGACACAAGATCTGGGCCTGCAGCCTTATGTGTATTCAGTCTTTTAAAAAGCCTCCTTACTTCATCCTCTTGTACAGAGATAGCAGGGGGTTGACGGGGGCAGTCCCAAGTGGTTAAACCAGTTGAGCTGGGGTTGTTGTGGAGGATGGAGGAATGTGAGTCCATGACTTCAAAGCGTGAATAGAAGTCGTTCAGATCGTTTGCCAGTTTGAGATTGTCTGTAGAATGAGGTGCTCTGGGCTTGTAATTAGTTATCTCTTTCAGCCCCCTCCAGACAGAGGCAGAGTCGTTTGCAGAGAACTGTTGTTGCAGCCGTGTGTTGTACCTGGATTTAGCCTTCGACACCTCCCTGCTAAATCCATACTTCGCATGTCTGTAGTTGTCTCTGTCCCCCTCTCTGAAAGCAGCCTCCTTCTGCTGACGAAGCTGTCTTAGTTTGGATGTGAACCAGGGTTTATCATTATTGAAAATGACTCTGGAGCGTGATGGGATGATGCTGTCCTCATAAATGTATATATGATGTCACAGTGTTTGTGTATTCGTTTAGACTGTCTGTAGAAGCCCTGAACAGGTCCCAGTCTGTGGTGTCCAAACACGTGCGTAGCTCCTCCACAGCTTCACTGGTCCAGTTAGAAACATCCATCCATTATCTTTTACCTGCTTCTTCCTTTTTGGGTCACGGGGGTCACTGGTGTCCATGTCCAGCCATCATTGTGTGAGAGGCGGGTGACACCCTGGACAGGTCTCCAGTTCATCACAGGGACACATAGAGACAAACGAGACAAACAACCATTCACTCTCTCTCTCACACCTAAAGACAATTTAGAGTTACCAATCAGCCTAACAAGCATGTTTTTGGTCTGTGGGATGAAACCGGAATACCCGGAGAAAACTCATGCATGCACGGAGAGAACATGCAAACTCCACTCAGAAAGGCCCCCAGCTCTACCAGTTGCTTCACCGTGCTGCCTCAGTTAAAAACATACAGGATAAAATCTCCATTGGATATACCAAGACTCTCCTCTAAAACACTGACTGAGAGAGACTGGGACTGAGAAGATTTTAAAATTACAGATGTATCCTGCAACAAGAAATTATAATTTCAGGAGCAGTACCGGAGAACAAATAATCTTTTCACTTTCATCCACAATGTGCCAGAATCCAGTCTTAGGAATTGACACCATCCATCCATCTGTCTATTGTTTATCAATAGTTGGGTCCATAGCATGTCTGGGAGAGAAACTCAGAATTGCTCTCCCCAGCACCACTCTCCAGCACCTCCTGAGGGACCCCCTGTGGGGCATGCCTGTAAAACCTCCAAAGGGAGGTGTCCAGGAGACATCTTAATCAGATCCCATAACCAATTCAACTGACTCCTTTCAATGTGAAGGTCACCCAGTAAAACAAGGTAATCCCCAGATGGAACCCCTTCCAGGACACCATCCAGATATGCCAGGAAGGCAGAGTAATCTGAACTGCTCTTTGATGCACATGCACCAACAACAGTCAGAACCCTCCCTCCTGCAGCCCAAAGCCACAGAAAGGATATCCTCTTGTTTACTGGGGAAAACTACAACAGCTTGTGGGAGTATCCCCACATCTGCCTGATTGCCATCTCCTTGCGTAACTCCAGAGGAACCAAGGCTCACCCACCATGTGCAAGTTAAATTGAACTAAAATTACCTCTTTTAACATGATCCATCAGAGACTCAGAGCTCAACCTGAACCCAGCTTGGTGTCATTAAAGAGTGACGTTCAATTTGTTGAGTTTAAAACAGACCAACCTCCAGGAGCAGAGAGGTGAGTTGTATCTAAAATGTGTTACTGTGCAAAATATGAATAAGTCAGTCTGAAATGTTTTTATTCCAAACTTTGTTTAATGTGAGCTCAGCTATTTTTCACAAATTTCTATGTTCAGATGTGATGCGATGTGTGCTGAATATTTTCTAAAACTCAGTGGTCAGAGTGACAGAATTGATGTAGTAGGAGGCATTTCTGAGTGTCTTTAGGTCAACAGTTGATCCAGCAGGTGTCACCTTTGACCTTTGACTCAAACACTATGTAGGTAGGAACTTCCACTCAAATGGCTGGTGTTGCTGGATGGAGGAGGACAGATAGTTTTTGAATCCTGACTCCACATGGAGTTTTCCCTGGTAGATAAGAGGGTAGCTTCTCTCCACCTTCACCTTCACCGCCCTGCAGTGGGGGACGGGCTCTGACTGTTTTTTTGTGCCTATGTGCCGAATGTCACTTTAGAGCAGTGCTTCTCAATTATTTTCTGTTATGCCCCCCCCCCCCCCCCCAGGAAGAAGTAAACATTTTGCGCACCCCCAACTCTCCGCCGCAGCTGTAAATAATCTTTCTATAAAAAAGTTATAAGTACACCTCTGCCTAACATTGAGTCCTTATTAACATTAAAGAAAAAAAAAAGAATATAGATCAACTTACAACGAAGAATAACTTTATTAACTTTGTTTTTTAGTCTGTAACAGAAACAACTTACAGTGCATCAATTAGCCTGAAAAAAAAATGCTTTTTTCAACTGTAAACATTTTTGACCATTTGATACTGAAAAATTAAATTAAATATAATCAATAAATAATAATTCAAATTGATCAGCAACATTTTAACTCAAGAGTGTTATTTGAAACACTTTGACCTACAAAACAAAAATGAATAAAACAATGTGTGCTGATTTTTTAAAATCAAAATGAGGAAATCAGGATCAATGAGCACACTCATCGATGGGGCCGAGATGGTGTAGAGGCAGGGCAGCCGGCTTGGGACCCGAGAGTCCCAGGTTCGATCCCCAGTCACTGCACATCACGTGGCGTCTCTGGGCAGCACGTCTAATCCCCAAAATGTCCCCCGGGCGCTTTCAATAGCTGCCCACTGCACCACCTGGTGGTGGATGGGTTAAATGCAGAGACTAATTTCGCCATTGTATGGAAACATACAGTGCTGACATTGTGATGACATTATTATTATTATTATTATTATAAAACGAAAACATTTTGTCAACATGAAAGAAGAGGGGGCAGGTAATGCTCTTGCTTTGAGTTTACTCTTTGTCGCCTGCTGTGGGTGACAAGCGTCCAGAGCATTAAAAAACAGCAGCTTAACTGAGGAGGTGAATTTATTTTGTTAGCAAAGAATAGAGTCCTAACATTTATTAAACATTACTTCTGTAAATTGTGCTTTGACAAACTCATCAATTAAACTAAAACATTTTGTCAGCGCAAAAGAGGAAAGAGGGGGCAGGTGTCGCTCTCGCTTGAGTTTACTCTTTATTGCATGCGTGCTATGAGTGACGTCCAGAGCGCATGGACATAAAAACAGCAGTGAAGGACGGAGGAGGTGACGGTCGGAGTTTATTTATCATGTCAGCAGCAGAGGGGAGACACACGGTTCATACATGGCTCCCAAAATGACAAGGCAGCCATATTTGTTCATAACTTTATTATTAGGAACGCACGCGACAAAATGAGAATGGTGAAAAAAAAACTACTCCCTGCGCATGTTTTCTAGGGGCCCACCCCCCCCCCCCCACCCCACCCCCCGGCATTGCCCCGGGACCCCCAGTGGGGCGCATCCCCACTGAGAACGACTGGTTTAGAGTAACTGGCCTTATTGGAGTCCTTGGTGGGGGTGCTGGAAGGTGTGTCAGCTGAGGACTCCTTTATTTTGCTGGGAGACTTCAATGCTCATGAGAGTAATGACAGTGTGACCTGGAAGTGCATGACTGGGAGGAGTGACCTCTCTGGTCTGAACTCGAGCTACTCTGTGAATTCTTTGTTGTTGGACTTCTGTGCTAGTCATGGTTTGTCCATGACAAACATCATGTTCAAACATAAGGGTGTCCATAACTGCACTTGTCACCAGGATGCCCTAGGCTATATATCGATGATTGCCTTTGTAGTCGTGTCATCTAATTTGAGGCCATTTGTTTTGGACAGTCAGGTGAAAAGAGGAGCTGAGCTGTCAGCTGACTATCACCTGGTAGTGAGTTGGATCAGATGCATGAGAAGATGCTGGACAGACCCGGTAGACCCAAACATGTAATTAATGAGGATTCACTGGAAATGCCTGTCAGAAGAACCTGTCAGATAGATCTTCAACATACACTGCTGGGAGAGCTTTAACTGCATCCCAGCTGAGGCGGGGGGGGGGGGGGGGCTTTGGGGGGGGGGGGGGCGGGGGGGACATTGAGTCTGAGTGGGCCATGGGGGACAGGCATCATTTGTACATTAATTGTTGAGGTAGCTGGCTTAAGCTGTGGCCACAAGGTTGTCGATGCTTCTTGTGGTGGTCATCCTCAAACTCGGTGGTGGATACTCTTTGTTAGGAAGGCTGTCAAGCTGAAGAAGAAGCCCTATCGGGCCTTGTTGACTGGTGGGACTCAAGAGGCAGCTGAAAAGTACCAGAGGGCCAAACGGTCCACAGTCTTGGTTGTTGCTGAGGCAAAAATTCAGATGTGGGAGCAGTTCAGTGAGGCCTTGGATAGAGACTCTCAGTTGGCTCTAAAGAGATTCTGGCAAACCATCAGGCGGCTGATGAGGGGAAAGCAATGCTTTACTAACGCTGTGTTCAGTGAAGGTGGGGTGCTGTTGACTTCAACCAGTGAGGTCGTCGGGAAGTGGAAAAAATATTTTTCTGACTTTCTCAATTCCACCAGAATGTCTTCCATGGGGGAAGCTGAGTCAGGGGCCTTTGGTGATGGTCTGTCCATAACCATGGCTGAGATCACCAAGGTAATTAAAAAGCTCTGCAGTGGCAGGGCTCCAGCGGTGGATGAGATTTTACCTGATTTCCTTAAGGTTCTGGATGTTGTGAGACTGTCTTGGTTGACACGCCTTTGCAACATTACAAGGACATCGGGGGCAGTGTCACTGTATTGGCTGCCTGGGGTAGTGGTTCCCCTATTCAAAAAGGGGGACCGGAGGGTGTGCTCTAATCATAGGGGCATCACTCTCCGTAGCCTCCCAGGTAAGGTCTATTTAGGGGTACTGGAGAAGCAATTCTTATCGTTGGTCGAACCTCAGATCCAGGAGGAACAATGTGGGTTCTGTCCTGGCCGTGGAACACTGGATCAACTCCTTACCTTCACTCGGGTCCTCGAGGGGTCATGGGGGTTTGCCCATACAGTCTACATGTATTTTATGGATTTGGAGAAGACTTTTGATCAAGTTACTCGAAGTACACTGTGGGGTTTGGGTGCTCCGTGAATTTGCGTTTGGGGCCCAGTTGCTACAGGCTGATCTATCCCTAACAAGTGGTGTGAGAGTTTGGTTCGCATTGCCGATACTAAGACCCCAACATTGTGGGAGTGTGATTCCGCCAGGGCTGCCCACTGTCACTGATTCTGTTCATAACTTTTATGGACAGAATTTCTCAGTGCAGCCAGGATGCAGAGGGAATCTGGTTTGGTGCTCTTAGGATTCCTTCACTGCTATATGTAGATGATTCGGTCCTGTTGGCATCATTGTGCAGAAACCTTCAGCTCTCACTGGAGTGGTTCACAGCTGAGTGTGAAGCAGCTGGGACCTCCAAATCTAAGTGGGAAATGAGAGGATTGTTCTCTTTGGGTCAAAGGGGAGGTTCTGCCTCAAGTGGAAGAGTTCAATTTTCATGAGTGGGAGAAGAATGGAGCATGAGATTGACAGACGAATTGGTGCAGCATCTGCAATATTGTGGACTCTGTGCTGGTCCATTGGGCTAAAGAGGGAACAGAGCTGTAAGGCAAAGCTCTCTGTTTATCGGTCAGTCTACATTCTTACCCTCACCTATGGCCACAAACTCTGGGTAGTGACTGAAAGAATGACATTGTGGGTACAGGTGGTTGAAATGAGTTTCCTTTGCAGGATAGCTAGACTCTCCCTTGGAGATAGGGTGAGATGTTGATAACTGATGTTCAGTTATCCAGGAGAGACTCAGAGTAGAACCACTGCTTCCCCACATTGAAAGGAGCCAGTTGAAGTGGTTTGGGCATCTGGTAATATTGCTTCCTGGGCACCTCTTTATGGAGGTGCTTCAGGCATGTCCAACTGGGAAGAGACCCCGGGGAAGACCCAGAACATACTGGAGACACTATGTCGCTTAGTTGGCCTGGGAATGCCTTAGGGTCCTCCCAGAAGAGCTGGAAGAGGTGGCTGTGGAAAAAGGTTTGGGCCCTCGCGATCCAACTTTGGAACAAGCGGAAGATGATGGATGGATGGATGGATGGATGAATGGATGGATGGATGGACAGACTCCACATGAACCTTTAGCTTGGGTTTTTCTCTGTGTGGATAGACAGAATGTGTGGGATTCCTGGTTTCCCTCTGTATGTTTGTGTCTGTTTGTCACTTTCCCTCCACAGCTACTCACCCAACT